TAAGGGAGCATACACACGCCATCTGAATTACTGAGGGGCTGTTGCTCACTTGTAAAGCTTGATTGCATCTAGAAATCAACATTTGGTTCGGAAGCGTCTTACTTTGATAAGGTTAACTTCTTTCCTGGGAGTGATAAAGTGTTAAATAAGCACTGTGACTGTGAATGGAGTTCAGGTAATGGTAGCCCCATAAATAGATGTTCTGACTCTTAGGGGAATGGATGCTGAATCCTTTCAGAAGTTTCTCTGAGCACAAAGAACTGAAATCTTTGAGCCTGCAGCACTCGTGACCTAGCAATTAAATAAGCATCCTTGGAGAACATCTGAGACGAGTGGGCAAAATGCAGTATTTGCTGTATGTGGGAGTGCTGTGTTGTGATGTTGCCATTGCTAGGTTCCTCCCCACATCAGCCCTGTCCCTGCTCTGGCTCTTGCATTGAGACCTCACAATGAGTTGGAGCAGAACAGAGGTCTTCTCCAGGCATGACAGCAGCGAGTTGTCCTGTGCTGGGGTAGAACCAGAGGGTGGAAGCAAATGTGTGTCCTCCTGCTGCCATCTAACTCCTCCCTGCACCAGGCCACGGGTGGGCAGTGCACAAGGTTACTGATTTTTGAGCTGACTAACAAAAAACATTTTCTACACTGCCAGACTAAGGCTATTTTTCCAGTCAAACCCAGCCTTCCTGAAGGGTTTCAGATTCATAGATGCCTCCAGATTTCACCAAAGGGAACGGCTGTTGTAGCAGGCACACTCTTGAGTGAGTTTCCTATAACTATCTCATAATCATCACCTTGAAGGATGCAGCGAAGAGTGTCTGTTTTCATTTCCAGTACTTTATCACTTGTGCTGGCAAACGCTATGGACCCTTTACAAGAGAGAAGGAGAAAAATGTTAGTGCTTTAAAACCAGAAGTTTAGTGCGGTTAGCGTTGATATCAAGTTTCAGTACTTGACTTTGAAACTGTTTCTTGCCCATCTTTTTTTCTAATCAGCTGCATAGTGAAGCTGGCACTGGGGGATGTGTACCTGCTCCATTGGTGCACTGTGGTGCACCTTGGGTGCCATTCTGTCAATGACACATGAAGTGGGACTGAATGGTCCTCTTGCTGTAGTATCTCTGTATTACTGAAGGAGTAAAAGTATGCTTTTCCAAAACGTTTAAAAATGATCATTCTTGTGGTTCCAGCCACGTTGCAGGCACACAACAAAACATAGGGAGAAAGTGGGGGTGAGTTTGTGAAGGAAAACAGCAAGTATCCAACAAAAACATGGGAAATGCACTTGTGAACATCCTGCCCAAAGTTCAATAGGAGTGATTTTGGGTGTTTTCACTTTCAATGCCCCAGTATGAAACGTCTCCAAAATGTCATGAAATGGTGAGCCTTCACCATTATGTCACCAGGGCTCCCGTAAAGTATTTAGAGCTGATACAAGACCTCTAGTTGCTGTAGAAGATCTTGTGTCTCTGTCTTCAACTGTGCTGCTGTTTCCTGTGGGAACTCCACACTCCTGTGCAGAGTGTGTCAGGTTCCTGGATGGCTCCTGTGGTTTCAGTAGTTATGATTGCGGCTGGTGTGTCTCAGAAAACTTATTTTGCTACTAATGAAACAGGAATTATTTTGCTGTGCGATGTATTTTGGAAGTGATTGTGTTGAATGCTTCTTACCTCTTCACTGGCTTTGTTGTCCATTACTGCTACTCACATACTAGCATCCACAAAGTGAACATCAATGCACACTGTTCACCTGAGTCCATCTAGGTTTCAAGGAATGATGAGAAAAATAGTAAGAAACTAAAACTTTAAATGAAAAATCAACTAAAGTGAATGACTCCTGACTAATATTATGGACTAAGGGTTGGTTTTGTTTTTGTTTTTGTTTTTTTTTTTTTTTTTTTTTAATGGGTTCTCAGTAGTGAGAGCTGGAAATCCTTTCACAGCTGTAGCAGCCAATTCTGTTCTGGACCTACTCTGCCCTCCTGGGGAGGCTTGGCCAAGCCCTAAGGCAGCCCCCAGGGGGTCTGTCCCCTAACTGGGGTTCCATGGGACTACTTTCCCCCAGAGACCAGCCTCTGGTCTCCGACCAGCCCAGGAAAGCTCCTCCTGCTTCCCTGTGAGTCCAGCAACAGCCACGTGTGACTGAGGGAGATTTTGGCTGCATCTGCTTGGGTGTTGAGTTTGGGAGGAAGAAACTGATTATCTTTCCCTCTGACTTCTGTGGCTTGTGCTCACTGCTGAGGTAAAGCCAGCAGTGACACCACTTCAAATGCCTGCTCCTTAAATAACAATTTATATCCAGAAGATTAAGGCGGCCACAGAGGAACCTCTCAGCTCTTGGTTTTATGCCCATTATGGAGAGTGTGGAGACACTTAACTCTGCCACACATAGTGGGGTTAAGTGTCTCCCTACAATTATACTCGGTGCCTGGGACAAAGCCTGATCACCTTTTTTTTTTTTTTTTTAAGTTTTTTCCTTCAGCTTCACAGATATCTCTCCTTTCCCAGCCTCTGGGACCTTTTAATTACACCGGTGTATAGACTCAACCTTTATCTTCTAGATGTGACGTGCTTTTGCCCCTTGTTTCTCTATGCCTGCTGCCTGGCTTAGTGGGTGGATGGGCAGGACAGGGTCAAGTGCTTGGGTCTGGGCCATCACTGTGACCACACTGCTCCATAAAACCACCTAACACCGTGCCAGCTTGGCCTTGCCCAGTGGTCATGTCCTGCCTGGGTATGTTTGGGCACCCCCAGACGGCACCACAGCCAGGAGTGTGGGGTCCTGGCTCCCTTCTGGCAGTGTCCCTGCCCCATGCCCACTGTCCAAGGGGACAATTTGACCTGCTGCCCAAGAGAAGCGTCAGTCCGTCTTAGAGGGGGCTCAGCTGTAATTTTTTTTCTTATGGTTGATTCTATGAAAGATGATGTTTGCTTAAAAAATTATTTAAAAAAAAAAAAGAGGAAAAGTGGTGTGAGCAGCAGCTGCGGGGAGATGCATCTGTGTCTAAGCTCAAGAGGCTCCATCCCACCGGCCCCCTCCTTACATGGAGGTGTGGGGCTGTCAGCGACGTGGTGGGTCTCTGCAAACAGGGGGAGAACCTGCAGCCACGGCTCAGATAGTATAAAGTGAATTTAAGTGCCGTTGTCTTCACATACATGTTCTCTGTCCCCTTTTCAGTCTTTAGGGAACAAAGCAAATTAATGCCAACAGAGGCTGACTCAAACCTTTGCCCTCATTTAAGGGATTCCAAAAAATGCAGTTTTGTTACGTGCTGGAGCCAGCTGCCCTGCAGCAGCTCAAGGGCTAGAGCGGTCTCCAGTGTTTAACCAGCATGAAAGGCAGTGTGTTGCTAAAATTGCCAATGACCACTACTGATCTTGTACTTCTACTTGACTAGGAGTGAATTTATTGCCTTTATGAATTTTAGCAGACTGACTTTTTTGTCTTTCTAGGATAAAAGGTAAAGAAATAAAAGAAATCCACCTCAGCATAAAAGTAGTCATATAAAAAAACACTGTCCAAGCAAGCCAACCAAAAAGCAGTCAAGGATAAAATACAATTAAAACATCCCACTTGTCTGTTTTGAGTAAGGTACATGAAGTGCTGACTTAGTTTATTTAGTTTTGGGGCAAAAACCTCCCAAATGTACATAGATGGCAATGTTAAAACAGGGATGTATTTGTGTAAGAGTGAAATTGTATTGAGGATAACCACGGCCAGAGTTTGTCTACTAAGAGAGAGGTCAAAATGGGAACAAGATGGTGGTTCAGGGAACACAAAATGGTAGGTGAGCCCCAAGGAGGGAGCAGGCAGGAGCCAAGCCCCCTCTGCCACGGTCAGGGAATAGCATCGATAACGGCTTTGGGAAGCTCGTAGGTTTGTGTCTTGTTTTTCTCAGTCATTCTGGACTTTAATATTAACGTGACGTGGCCTTTATGCTAACATAGACTTCTTGTAAGAAGTATAACTGTTTGTCAAGTATGATTTTTTTCAAAAGTGGCCAAATTCCGTTCTCCACTGTTAGTAAACTTGCAGATGAACAGGAGCGGAGCTGTGCCCTTCTGTGGAGTACACATTTGTTTATGGTCTGGACATAAAATCAAAATTTGTCAAGGCACTGCCTGTGTTAATTATCTTCTGCGTTCATGATGCCACATGATGTCACCATTGACATCAACCTGACAGATAAGATTACAGGATGCCAGGATTCCTTACTGGATTGAAAAAAAACAAAAAGTTATAAAAAAAAAAAAAAAAAAAAAAAAAAAAAAAAAAAAAAAAAAAAAAAAAAAAAAAAAAAAAAAAAGGGGGGGGGGGGAGGGAAGCACAAAATCAAGAATCTTGTGATGAAAATGTAAACATCTAATGTAAATGCTCACTGGAGCAGGTCCTGGGGTCTGGGCACACGGGTCCCATCTGGTCGATAGGGGCTGTGCTTGTGGCTTTGCAATGTGGTTTGGATTTCAGTTGCAGAATTGTGTAAAATTTGTATTTGAACCCAGCACAGTTTGGATAAAAGAATTGGAGATTCCTTTTCATCGGGAAATAAAGACCCATGATTTATATTTGTTTGGTGTCAGAGCAACAGAGCAGGCAGGTGAAGATGATCAACTTGCACTTAAAAAAAAGAATTTCCACAGTTACTGCTTTCAAATGCCCAGCAATTTTGCACGTGGAAGTTGTTGTGAAAGTATAGAATTTTTCAAATATGAGTACTTAGCAGCTAGTGATATTTAAACCTCTATTAAAGTTTCACATGAACTTACTGTTACCTGTTCAGGAAGAAACTGCAAACAGAAATCCCATATTTTTGTTAAAACACAGGGAAAATCTCTTTACTAAATTTCCACCTTATGAATTATTTTATAGAAAGCAGTAAGTTCTTTTTCACCAGTGCAGAAGTCTGTTTTAATACTTAATGTCATAGCAGTCCTAGTTTTCTGATGGCTTTTCTTTCCAGTTTGTTTGTTTTAGCAATCACAACTTATTTCTGTTCTTTTTCAGTTGAAGAGGGTGAATCTTCAGATTTTGCTTTGACCTGGGACTCATCGGTGACTCAATCAGGTAAATATTTTAGGTTCTTCTGATTGCAAAAACTGCCAGAAAGCTGCCAGGCTTTTTACAGGAACTGTATTTTGTATGTCACATTCCTGTCTCAAATCCAAGACTACCCACTGCAACACAATTTTTATATCAGTTCCATATGGTCAATAAAATCTATTACATACAGAGACTAATATACTCTTATCCTCCGGAGAGCCATTCTTTCTTCTTGTGGGCACACTGAAATGGGTTGTGATTTCTCCAGTATAACCACTTTGAAGTTTTCTGCAATGGGCACTGTTGCACATTCATTCCAATCTAATTACATAAAAGCTACTTTAATAGGAATTTTAAACTTCAGTCTCAACTGGAATGTGCGTATTTTTCCTCTCGGAGGAAATTGGAAAGTACTGTCAGGGCTGGGGAATAAAAGCGCTACATCGCCATGGTAGAAAGATTTCACATTCGAACCAGCTTTTGGTTTGCTTGACAGTAATAACACTTAAACATTCTTCAGCTGTGTTACATTGATAATTTGAATAAAAAGAGCCTCAAGAAACTGAATGGGATAAAGCAAGTTTGTATGCAGTTGTGTAATGTGTATTGATAAGGCAAATGTGAGGGTAAATGTTAGATTAGTTTGCATTTAAAGTAACTAACCACATTTCAGTGACTCCTTGTGTCCTGTGTAAAGATGTTTTACTGTCTATCATGTCTTTAACATCTATGAAATTCTCAGAATATTTTTGATTTTGAAGCCACTGACTCTTTCTGTGCTCTCTCCGTACTGTGCTGTCTGATGGTGTTCTCTTAGAATCTCAGCAGTGACGTGAAAACAGCTCAGAAACTGAGCAGTAATTATGAAAATTAACAATGGTGCTGCATTCCTGGTTAGCATGGGTTTTATAAGAGTCATGGGGGGACTGACTTGCAGGAGGCTTTTCTTAGTCATCATCTAGCCGCTCTTGAAGGCGTAAGCTGCCTTTGTGTGGCACTTTGTGGCATTTCACTTCGTACCAACAGCGCTCCTGCTTGCGCTGGGTGCATCTTCTCTGGCTGTTGGAAGGGTTTGTGTTTTCACTAGTCTCTGATAGCAAATACTGTGCTGCCGCTGCTGCTGCAAACCCCCAGCTGTGATGTGGAAGGCCCCTTTGTGCCTGGAGCTAACGGCGCATGAAAAGAGCGCTCGCCGGCTCCCTTGCTTGACCTTCGTCTCAAACAGCAGTGGAGTGGAGTTACCGGTGTTATCTATCAAAAATCTTGAATTGTAGTAAATTTAACACAGGCTGAGGTTCAAAACAGCAGCACCAAAAATCATTCCTGCGCAGAGCGGGAGTTGATTTGGGATTTCTGGATGGTATTGGGGACTATGCTGTAAGTAGAAGACAGCTCGTGAAAGGCTTTTCCCAAATTAGTTGAGTCTCCTCCATTTTTCTTCATTACTCCCGTAATTACAGCTCTCATTCAAGACATCGGATGTGGAATGAAATGTATTGTATGGGTGATTTATGGCAGCTTAAGGAAAATCTGTGCTAATGGGGAGGTTTTCCTCTTAATACATTTAGTAGCTAGAGATGTCAATCTTGCATGCGTATGAAGGTGACGTGCAGTATCCTACAAAGACAGGGCACAGTGCCTTGGGACAGAGGTTGCAGGCTGGAAGATGAGTGAGGAACTACCTAGAAAAAGCTTAAAAAGCCCTAGTACATGGTGGTACAGCCGCGTGGAGTCACTGGCTCTTGTGTGGTGTGCCTCCAAAGCTATATTCAGTAACTAAAACCAGTCCCTCAGTCCCAGTGTGCAAGACTTTCATTATGTTCTTTTATGATCTTCCTGTTTGCATTAGCTCCAGTAGTGTGATGTTGAACTTCAATAAAGGGTGAAAAAACACGCTTCAACTTCTTGTTTCATGCCCCTTCTTTCCCTGGCCCAAAGTGACAAAATTGCCTCCCCTTCCTTGACCCTCCCCCCCCACCAACAGAAGAAAAACCACAAGGCCAAACCCGGGACTTGTTAACTCTGAAACGTTTGCCAGATGTTTCAAATTAACATATTTCTCTCCCTTCTTCTCCTGTGTGTGTTTGTACATCTCTGTGTGTGTGCAAACACATACAAAGCGACTTCTGAAAAATGCTGTTGGCACTCTGTGTGGCTGCTGAGGGCTGGGGAGCGGCGGTCCTGGGGTGGCGTGGTACGTAGGGACAGCAGGAGCAGGTAGAGTGTCCTTTGTAAACTTCTTTTTTTAAAAAAAATAAAAAACTAGCAAAGTATTTATATAGATGCGGTTGTGGGGCGAGAAGGTAGTTGGCTGCTCTTTGTTCATCAAACCAGTAGAAGCTCTACTGACAGGGGTAAAATGCTTTGGAGGAATTCAATCCTTGGTGCAGTTTCACTGAGGTATTTATTCAAATGCTTTAGATACAACTATGAATAGTTTTATGATTATTTTATTTGTTCTTTTTAAACCACAACTTAAAGGCTGCATGTAGTAACTTAGAGAATCAGGAAAATGTATAAGGAGGCAGCGGCTGCCCTCGGGCCCAGGGTAAATAACCTGGGTGTCCACCAGCCCTGTTGAACAATGGGCATATAGCGAAATTTCCTTCCTCTCCAGGTCTTGTAAACATTTTTTTTTCCTTAATGTAAAAAGAAGAAAAAAAGCTTTTCCTTTCCTCTCTTAATCTGAGGATTTAGCTTGCTGTTAAATAGCAGGTCAGTAGTGATTTGCTGTCTAAGAGGCAGAGATGCTTTCTGTCCCAGCGGAAGAGAGCAGCCAAGTCCTCCTTCTCCCTGCTTTTCCCTCTCAACAGCAAGTGCAGCCCTGGAAGCCCATCTATCTCACCCCCAAGCATTAGGGAGAGTGGGCTGAGCAGGGCTGCTGGGGGGGCCGGGCAAGCACCCACCTCTGCTTTGCCAAAGGGTTTTCTGCTCCTTCAAAGCCCAGAGGAAAAAGAAGATTCAGTATTTGTCGGGCTGGACCCTTGCTTTGCAATCCTGCATTGCTGTTGTAATACGTCACGAGAGTATTATCTTGAGGACCAACAAGGGACATCTTAAAGAAGTACAAAAATCTTACTAAATATATAGAGAATTTAAGGCATTTTAAAGACCTATGAAAGCATTTTACATGGGGGTTGCCGGGGAGTTTCTCATTAGCCTGGCTGGGAGGCCCTGGGGAAGCTTGGCTGAATTGTCTGGGGCAAACAGAGCAGATTCCGTCTTCTCCTTAGGAGCCTGCAGACCTAAAAGCCTCATTTTTTTGTGTGTCTGCTTCTGAGGTAACTGAAGGTATCTTATTTCTGTGTGCAGCTTTGAGTTATGACACTGATCAAGAAAAGAGTTAGGGAAATAGGGGACCGTGGACCCTTGGTGCATGTGTGTTTGCAGAACACAGGAGGATCTTCACAGCGTTCAGGGCGGGAAGGACCTCTCCAATGCCAGTGCCCAGCCATCTATTAGCATACAACATTAGTCTCATCCATTTATAACATTCCAGAAATCATGAAAATAAATTACAGGTTGGTATTTCCTCCCTTCTTCCCCCAGTGGCTCCGGGTCCCCTGTCCCAGCCACCGAGCTCGCTGCAGCCACTGGGCACGTCTGCAAGGGGCATGTTAACAGAGCACAGCATGGCAAAAAACCCACCAACCAACGTAACATTTTAGGACACAGACATTTGATGTATTGCCATTAAGTTTTCCCACGTGCTTGTTCTATACAGTACGCTGCTTTAGATTTTTAATTGCCTTCTGTGATTTCTTTTAAAGTTTCCCTCCTTCAAGGAGGAAAAAAAAAAAGGGGAAGCAGCAACTTTTGAGAAACAAACCACAAAATAAGAGAAAACCACCCTGTGGTCACTCCTTTTCCCCTTTTTGCATGGCCTCTCCCAGCTATGTAAATCATAATTTTCACTTGGTATCTTCAGAGGAGGAACATCTTGATGCAGTTTGGAGGCTTATTTTCACTCAGGGCTCTCAAAGTTGGTGCTGGGACATTTTTAAGGCCATCTCTGCTACTCGTGGCTCTCCCTGCCTGTTCCCTCCTGGCTGTTCCCTGTGCTCTTCCCCACCACTGGTCTTCTGATCCCAATGCTGCTGCTGTCTGCCCCCAAAATGTTGAGTGTTTGTTTTCCTCTCACTGTTTTTGTAGGGTTGGGTTTAATTTTGGTTGCCAAAGGAACAAAAAGGATAAGAAAGCCCGGCTCTCATGAAGCAAATGGAGACTTGCTCCTGAAAGTATTCGTGTGTTAACTTTTTTTTCCCTCCTTTTCTGTTTATTCAGATAAGCTACAGAAAATGTTTTATCCTTCCTGACCTTTCCCTTTTTGGGAAGGTCCCTGTTTCAGTCACACAGTTTGTTGTCCCCTCAGCCTTCTGCCAGCGCTCTAGGCTTGCACAACCCAGCACGGTCCACTACCTGGTGCCCACCAAGGCCACCATCCTTGTGGCACCCCATTCCCTGTGGTCTCACAGTACCCAGGGCTATCCCTGCTTCTGCCCATGTGCCCCTGGCAGCTCCCACAGACCCCATGCTGGTTCTGCTCCAGCTGCACAACCTGCTGGGAATGGACTGTGTCAGGATGCTATGGTTTGAAGAACCCACAACAATTTATTGTCATTTAGACAATTACCACCTGATTACCTCTTCCCATCCAGGAGGGGGAACTGAGAAACACAAGGAAACCCAAGAGCTAAAATATAAACAGATTTAATAGAATACTACAAAATAATTAACATTAATAATACTAAAGAACCAATATTGATTCCGATACCAACATAAAATATACAGGGGTTATACTCAGCCAATTATATTGTAGTGATACGACGAGGGGTAATGGTTTTAAACTGAAAGAAGGAAGATGTAGATTAGATTCTAGAAAGAAATTCTTTGCTGTTAGGGTGGTGAGGCACTGGAACAGGTTGCCCAGAGATGCTGTGGCTGCCCCATCCCTGGAGGGGTTCAAGGCCAGGCTGGATGGGGCTTGGAGCAACCTGGTCTGGTGGGAGGTGTCCCTGCCCAGG